TAGTTTCCTATCACTGTGTTCACTAGCAGAAACTGGAATCAAAAAAAGCAGCTAGCTTTAGCTTCCTTAATAAAGATGTTTAAAGTGCTCATAGTAACTATGCAGAACACAGGTAAAGCCTACAGATTTCTCATATATTAACAAACAAAATACCTCAAAAACTCTCAAAGCTTTTAAAATCAGTCATTTGTTACAAAATGTGAATTTGTATTACAACGGATCATGACATACAGTAATGGTATCAAGACTATTTTAAAAAGCACTTGTTCACAAGTAGAATTTAACTCATTGCAAAAGAAATAGAAATATCAGATGATCTTTGAGGTTTATCAGTAATCCAGTGCTTACAGTTGAATATAAAGCACATCTTTTGCATCTTTTACAGCTAAACCCCTAAGTCTGGTTAGACGGTGTAACAGCAAATTGCTGTAGTTACACAATGATACTGGTCTACACGCCATTTTAGCTTACAGTTTTGACTCTAGTGAGGACTCTGTATCACTGTGTATATATTCACCTTTTATTTCTGAATAAATGGAGCAGAGATGAGAAACATTCCTAACTTCAGGCACTTGTAAGATTTACTCGTAACTGAGAATTTAAAGTAGTTTCTGAATATTAAGTTTTAATAGTCTCTTTAATGCAGGCTGATGGAAACTTGTTATTGTAGTTAATATAAAGAAGCCTGTTTAATTTTGCTCAATATATTCCTCAAGAATGTATTACTCAGATAATAAAAACAGTTTCTGTACCTCAGGCACTGTGATTTATATGCAATGTTTCCTTATTACTACAAACAAGTAAATGATGTAACATACTTTAATGATAAAGACTGTAACAGTGTTTCAACTTAATTTGATGTTGCCATCTTTTTCACCCTCTTTCACTTGTTATACATTGTGAAATGTTGAAATAATTTTGATATTTCAATTGTCACCTCTTCTGAGCTGCAATTAGCATTTAAAAGCTTAACATCAATTTTCATTCAAATATGCCGCCTCTGTAGTCATGGTAACCTTCTCATCAGCTTTATCTTCCAGCTTTAGAAGGTACTGCTGTGGTACTTAGAGATGTTGTCCTTCAGGATTTTTCATTTGACTCCCTCCTCCTTCCCTCTCCTGCACAAAAGAAATTTCTGTGCTTGCTTTACCAAGTCAAAGATTTACAAAAGCAAGAGAAGATCCAAAATGGAAATACTGTAAAAATAATAAAGTTGTACTTCATGAAGCTTCCTGGAAACAAGGAAGTGGTGAAGAAGAGTGACTTATGATTCATACATGGTGCAGTAAACTACATATCAGCTATTAAAAACTACATATTTAGCATATGTAAAAATGAAAGCCTAGTCACGCAAATGTGTAGACACAGAATCCAAGTATTCAGCAGATGTCTCTTCTCTCCTGACTTAAGGAGAGAAACATTGAACCAGATGTAAGCCAAAGACTGTTTCACTCAAATATTCCAATTATTTTGCATTTAACCAGGATATGCTCTGATATTTAATTTTGTGAGAAAAATATAGAATCTATTTTATTGTTAGTTATCCTCCTTATACTAATTTAACAACACTTTTTTTTTTTTTTTTGTTTCTGTCATCATTATTAATGAAGTATTTATGTGAGAATGGGTCAGTTGATCCAAACCTTTACGTTATTGGTAGAGATACTAATCTGTGAACCACATCATTCTTCTTACAGATTTTGTTGTCCTTGGCTTGTAATACATGTTTATTGTTGGGAGAAAAATCATTACAAGTACAGAGAAACAGATGGCTATTACAATTCAGATACATGAACTTTTGGTTAGTAGCTAATGTAATTATAGGGGATATGATAACAATTATAGGGGATTTTCTACATGTTCTCCTTGTGGTCACTTGCAAAACTCACCTGCCTCCACTTTTATTTCAAAAATTGATAGAAGTTGGGGTACAATACACACATATCCCAGGCTGCCTCTGGCCGTCTATGAAGCTGTGAAAACATCTTTTCGGTATCTTTTTCAAGTGGCCATCTCACAGACTGCAAGTGAACAATGCAGCTTACCTTTAACCCCTGCCATCACTGGTACAGGTTGGATGTTTGAGATGTAGGCACTTCATCTATATCTTGCAAATGCAGATACAGAGAGTAAATCTGCATTTTAGCTAATCTATGTGGGGGCTCTAGAAGGATGGTTAAAACAATCTCCACATCTGCAACATCCTGAGCCTGAACAATGTAAGTCTGGATCAACAGGCACTCTCTATCAGCTGTTAGCCACTAATGAGAACCTCCCAATCTGTAATGTGAAATAAATGTAAACCATCTGTGCAAATAAATCCTGGCTTTGAAGGGCACTTTGTATGTGTGAGTGAGCCATGACTCTTACTGGAAATTGTTGAAATTTTGAAAACATCTTCTGAATCTTTTACCTTTCTTGCATGTCCACATAGTCTGTAAGATGCCTATTGAGTTTCAGTGTATCTGGTTTTGACATCTCATAACTCTTTAGAAGAACTAACAGGTTTCCAATCAATGCCAAGGCAAACCAAATGGCTGAGGTGCTTCAAACTGCCAGTGTGGAGATGCATACAGACCATGTAACCCTGGCCTGTTCAAGTAATCCTTTTTTTTTTTTTTTTCCCATGTGATATCCTAATAATATTTTTGATTATATTTACAGTGTGCATACTTCATCACTTAACAAAAACTCTTACATTTTTATATATGAAGCACTGATTTACAATTATTTTCTTTTTGCCATGTGATGAAATCAGAAGTCAAAATCTTCAAGGTGGAAGTTGTAAAAATCAAAATTATTCTTTAGCCCAGGGAGGCTGAGAGTTCACTGTTTACAGGAAACTTTTTCAGAATGTGAAAGGGGTATCACTGAACACAGAATCGGCTGTTTATTGAACTCTTCCCCGATCTCAATCACTGTCCCATCCACTCTGTCTGAACCTACTCGCTCTCACCTGGGCTCTCCATTTTTCAAGGATTTCCACGGGGAGTTTGTTCGCAGCTGCCCTGACACAATGAGGGTTTTCCTGGGGAGCTGTCTCACCCACAATAAGTTACTTCAGTTTATCCACAGATTGCCATGTGGAACAACAGTGGCATTGAGGAGGAGTGCAAATGGCATTTCAAAAGAGCAGCACCTGAACACGGTAGTAAATCTACAGCACGTAGCACCTGGAATTAGCTATGATAAAGCTGCATTGTAACAGTTCCGTTATATTTGAATCTTGAAGCAATTACTTAATGAAGCACAACTTACTGGAGAAATATGTCTGTTGAAAGAGACAAACCCAGAAAGTTCTATGAACTTTCACTGTCTTCTAGGGTGTTCAGTGCTTTTTTTTTTTTTTTTTTTTTTTTTTTTTTTTTTTTT